GATATAATAAGAACAATTATTTCATGCGGGCTGGACCGCATTTCTACAATGTGTAGTTCAGAGGTATAAAGCATCCATCTTAAAGATGGATGCAAATAGGAGGTCCATCCAAAAACAATTGTAACTAATGGTCCAAATATTTCTTAATATAATTATTATTTTTAGTTTTCAATTTATTTTTTTTCATATTCATGATCTTTATGGTAAAGATTATATATTTCTAAAAATAAAAATCAAATTATATTTAAAAAATATATGTATTGCCAAGCCGGCATTTTTACCATATGCGGGCTGGCCGTATGCTAACCACGTCCATATAATAATGCATCATTTTTCATAAACTTTGCCAGGGATGGTGCCAAATCGACCTTGTTTCTTCCCCAAAGGAAAGGATTTCAAAATCTTACAAACAAGATATAATTTCCTTCATATCCTAGAGAGAATAATGGCCGTCCAATGGGTAATGGTCAAATACCTTAGTAGCCAATCAATGAATGGATCTTCAGAATCTAACTTTTAGAAAGGTATAAAAACTTGCATCAGCATGAAGTATACTTTATTCTTGTGGGATCACATAGTGATTGATCCACCCAAATGTGTTTTATTGTGCCCCTAAACATGGTGGCAATTCAATGCCAATCCTGGTTTGCTCTTTCATTTGGCCAACAGCTATTTTTCAGACATGAATGAATCACTGGAAATGTTTGTGGCCGAACTGGGCCTAACAAGAAAAGGTAAAGTGAAATTTTGAAATCAAAGTTTTTGTGGCATTATAAAAAAAAGACTCAATTTCAGTGCATGTGCCCATACTAAAAGTGGTGTGAACCCTACAATTTGCATTGCCAATAGGGGTGGCAATCGATCCGGACCCGACTCGGGACCCAAGGGGCTGACCTGACCCGGGTCTAGGTATGGGTCCAAAAATTGGACTTGATGGGTTGGGTCCGGATCCAAATCTTGGACCCGAATACTATTCGAGTCCGGTTAGGTCCGGATTCGGTAATATTTTTCGAGTCCTAATATATGAAATATATTTAAATATAATTAAATATATAGATATTTTTAAATTTTTGGATCAAGTCCAGGTTCAGGTCCCACACTATATTTTCGGGTCCAAGTCCAACCCGACCTGACCAGTTGCCAACCTTAATTGCCAAGTTATATTAGATGATCTAGATTGCTTTCAAAAGTCAAGACACGTGATTTCTAGAAGCAAATGCACTGTCCAACGAAAATGAACTCTAGATGTCACGCTCGCAAAACATCATGTCAACGCTCCGAAGGACCAAAGACTTTACCTAACAAAAATTGATATCCGAGTACTGCAGCACCATACACTTTACCTACAAATAATTCTATAGTTTCTTTTTGGCTAAGAATACAAAAAAAAAATTGTATGGTGGTCGTGGCTTTCCGTGGAATCAATTTTGCAAGTAGCCCTTCTTTTACCAACAATTTTAAACGTGTATATGAAATCAAAGTTTTTGACATTTCCTTTGGCAAAGAAAACCTAAATTTGCCTATTCAAAGCGACCATGAAAGCCTTCAACTCCAGCTCTAGGCAATTGGCCACAGGAATAACCACCTTGGGAAAGTATTTTATACTACCATTTGGGTTTCAAACACTATGCTAGCACCTCCCTCACGGATAAGATATCAATAAGGGAGAGTTGAAGCATGTTGATCCTCCAATCAAAAAGTTATATGAAATATTGAGCTAGAATAGCACATCCGGACAGTAAATTTGTTCATGTGGGACGATTGTATAGGTGCTAGGATCTATCTTAAACCCGAATAGCATGGTGTACAAAATTGTAATCTGCTATTTGGGCTTTAAAGGAGTTCCAAACCCCTGTTTGCCACTGCAGTTCCCGTGTTTGTTATGTGGAAGTACTACACTGTTTTGGAAGCCGTGGCTTTCAAAATGGTATTAAGAAGTGCTGATTTGGGGATACCACAGCTCCCATGCTACCCCATGGTAGAAGAGGCCGCTTTGGCTTTGGCATCCGCTTCTTCCACCCATAAAAACGTCTTAAGGCATTCCCTTAAACTCCAATTTAGAAGATAAAAAATGAAATGGGCCTTTCCGTTTATGATACCGTTGGTTCTCATAATGGATGGGAATACATCATCGAATAGTAGAGATTAAGTAATAACTAGCAATTATTTTAAGGGCAAGCTTTCCTTGCTTCCCCTTCTATGACTCGTATATTTCCCCTTATCCAACCATCTAATCTAAATGGGCAAGATTTCCTTGCTTCCCCTACTACGACTCGTATACTTCCTCTTATCCAACCATCCAATCCAAATGCATGGTTGCTGACCTCAATCTCAATGTCACATCTCTACATTGTTTTATTTTTAATTTTTTTTGAAAATTATTTTGACACCAAATTTTGGACATACACTCCTCTTTTAAACTGGCACATGAAAATATTATATAAAAAAATATTTTCAATAAAATAAAATAATTAAAATACCCTTAAAAGTTTCAAGAGGTTTTTTTATCATTATATTTTATCAAAAATTTATTTTTAATATTTTTTGTAAACACGCTCTATTGAAAAGGTGACACGTACCAATTTTTATATTCATAAAATTTATAGAAAAAAATTAAAAATAAAATACTTTGAAGCGTCAGATCTAGATCAAATGGTGAATGGCTCACTTGATCTAAATTAGACGGCTGGATGGGAGAAGAAACCTATATCTTTTTATGCTGTAAAGAAAGTATAGAAACCATTCCCTTATTTTCGTGACTGCTCAACAATTGAATGAATTATCAATACAATTATCATCATTGGATGTCAGACTCGGAAAGACTTTCAGGTAGATCAGCTTGGTTCTCACTAGAAAGGTTTGAAGTTCACCATTAATCTCCCACCTGCAATCCAAAAATCTCTTTGATGGGCCAAGACATTGTTCAAGTTTAGAATCATGACCCATATGAATGTGAGGCAAATTCATCAGTCAACGGCCTCGGATTTTATCCTGCCTTTTACTAGGGCACCATGAGTAGTTTCTGGGACAATACTTGGTGCTAAATTATCCTTTTGGATTCCCTGGGGCAATAGTGGTGCTAAATTATCCTTTCGGATTCCCGCTAATAGTTCAGGATAATGAGAACTAGTACACATTACATAAAAAAAAGAAAAAAGGCTAGCATTACTTGCACTCTCAGTAATTATCCCGATCAACTTGGGAACGGGCCAAGTTGGTCAAATTTGGCAAGATCAGCCGCACTATTAGAACTCCCTCGTGTCACTCCGGATCAGCACCGTGTGAGCTGGGAACCAAACATATGGGAACCTGTGAGCTCTCAAATTATATTAGTGTTTTGGAACTCAGCCGGGAGCATCAGACCTGACTCAGGCTCAGGATGCTAGTCAGTCCCATCCCAAGTCCTTGTTATCCAGCACTGTTTGATTAGACACAGATCGGAACCGCAACAAATCCATATCAAAGTTTTTGACTTGTCAAACTATGCATTTGGTTGAACTTCCGATAATGTCATTCTAAGCAATGACAAACACCGCTAGCTTATAAATATATAAAAAGTGTCCAAATGCAGACACATAAGCGCATGCACATGGTGAGCGACTCTGAGAGAGAGAGAAAGAGAAAGAAGATAACAATGGAGAGAGTGTACAATATAAAATTACAATGGAATAGCATATCTCTACCTTCCTGCAACATTAATTTGCAACATACGATGCATAAATAGAGAGAGAGAAACAAAACAACAAGTACCAGCACCCGCCAGTATCCTCCAACATTACTCTATTCCCACACCATCATGCAACGATAGCCCTTCAAGTTCCATTCAGTCCTCATCACCTTCAACATCAAGCAACCACTGCTCCAACTCATCCACCTCTTCAAGCTCATCGCTGTGAAGCCCATCCCATGGATCCCACTGTCCAGCGCCAAGCTCTTCTCCCAAAGCTACACGCAGGAAAGGGCGACTTATCTTCAAGGAATCCACCAAATCTTGATGCACCCCACCTGTAAGGCCCAACCATCTCAATCTAGGGAAATAAGGCTTCTTAAACCACCGAACCGCAAGTCTAGTTATCCTCCCACTGTTGTGAAGATCCAAAACTTGCATACTGCTTCCATAGCCTCCACTCTCTGATCGCATTGAAGCCAAAGCCATGACTGATGTGTCCCCAATAAGTGGGCACCCACGAACCCTTAGTTCAACAATCTGCACGCCGCTTCTCACTAGCGAGAGTATTCCATTGTCAGATACATTGGATATATATGAGAGGTCCAATACTTGGATGGTTTGCTTGAGAGAGCCGACAAATAAAGCCAGAATTCCCTCATCGGTAATCCTCTTGCACCCTCTAAGAGATAACGAGACCAAGGAGGTCAACCCATAACCCAAATAAGACAACCCCACATCACTGATATCACAGCCATCGAGCAATAAAGCCTTCAACTTGGGTAGAGTGCATATAGCATTCAGGGCCCGATCTCCGACTCCTCGGCAGCCTCTAAAGTCCAAAGTGCTGAGATCACGGTTAGATGCTAACTGGATAATGGAGGCATTAGTTATGAGATTGCACGATCTTAGTCCTACGTGGGTTAGGGCAAGTGGGGTAGCTGAGATATCGTGAAAAACCAGGTCAGTTAGGCGGGTCCCATTCCACACCTTGACTTTGTGGAGTTTCGGGCAAGAGTGCAAGATAGCCCTCAAGCCTGTGTCAGTTATCCGAGAAAAGCCCCCGAGATAGATGCTTTCATAGTCAGCACAGGCCTCCACCATTAAAAGAACACCAAGGTCATTGACTCGCCTGAAGTAGGCTGGTGCAAATTCCTGGCTTCTAACAAGAGAGAGGTGCTTGAGTTTCTTGTACGGATTGATTTGTTGCATGCCCATGTTGGTGAGATCGAATGGAGCTAGGGGTTCCACAAAGGGTGCATCATGAAGGTCGAGATGGGTTAAGGACACAAGAGACCTAGAAATCGTGCATATTAAAGAGTCGGTGATGATATCCACGCCTAGACATAGTTTTTGAAGACATGGAAACACAGATGGGCTCAAGGGATATTGGCTGACCCCTGATTTTCTAGAAAAAGTTTCCTTGGCCATTCCTGACATGGCAAAGCCGATTTCGAGAACCATGAGCCTTTCTGAAGCAGTTGCCAATACTTCAGGGAAATTGCGACTCCCAAATGTTGAAATGTCAAATATGAGTCTCAGTGACTACAAAAGTAAGGCCACGTATCAATAGAACCATAGGAAGGGCCATTGCCAAAACAGAATCTCCCACAAACAAACCAGCAATCCAGAAATAATCAAACAAGTAAATTAAATTTCAAACCTTCAAAATGTGTATGCAAGCAGAAACGATCCTTATAAAAAAGATGATAGTAGAAATCATAAATTAAAGTCAATGACCATCTGAAATCAAGTAATATATAACCTACTTGGCAAGTGGTAATTGAGTAGTGACAAGGTTAGAGATAGTTGGCATTTTTTGTTTTCTTGCACATCCCATCAAAAAGAAAATCTTACACATGTTTATTTAGATTTTTACACAACTAGGAGAAAGGAACGAAAATCAATCATAACATAAACGGCCCCTGAATGACGAGAATATGCATGTGAAACACCTGATTTTCCTTTACACAAGATAGCAAATGTGCTCAATCCATCCCATAATGAAATGCGAACTGTATATGCTTAACCCAACACGAATTACAGCTGACTTATAGGTTCCCACATATCAGCTCATCCATATGCGCAAACTATTGCATGTAGCCCTCTGACACATTGTCAAGGGACGAATGCTGTGCTTAAAATGCAAAATGTTTCCTCCTAATACCCTACCCATTGAATTATTTAAACTGTTTAACAAGAAAGGATAACTAATACCGAGACAAGGTTCTGCTTTCCAAGGATGAATTGAGAGCTCTTTTCACTTGTCTAAGAGTTTTTCCTCATTATATTGGTTAGGGCATGGAGAGAGAATTACCCTGGAGACTGGCTAATAATATTATGCAGAAAATATAAATTAGAGGAATGACATGCCTTGCATGAACTCAAAGGGATAGTTGTGAAGCAATTGCATTGCTTCAAAGTATTCAGCACTAAGATGTACATTAGTCTCTATTAAGTCAATGTAGTCTGTCAACTAGCTTGAGGGTAATTTTGCCATGTTTCTGTATGTGGATAGTTGCATATTTTGTACGGCGTAGTCATGTTTAGATGAAATGAATCTCAATTTCTAGTGACCGAGAAATAGATCCATGATTTCTATGCCTGCAATCAGAATTTGATATTTCTCTGGCTCTAACATGGCATCAGAGACACCTCAAATCTGTTCCCAGAATTCCTTCAGTTTCTTGGCATATCCCATATCAAACAAATAGTACACATGTGATCGGCACAGTGAGTTGGCCCAAATTTGCGCCATCAAATAGGGTTTATCTTGCAGTCTGTACTCCGCACAGCCACATCTGAGGATCCATACAGCCGCGTGCACCACGAAACCCAATATACCTTAAGTGCTTTTCCAGCTTGCATTTAGATGAGTCCATTGACAACCGCACTGCAAGGGCTTGTTTCACATTCAGTAAGAAAAAACCATTACTCACAGAACTCTTTTAGGCTTACATGCATACAAGAATTTTTGGAGCTTCAGGCCATTGGTTCACCTTTCTATCATACATGCACTGCTGAAATTTCAGATCCAAAGGATTCAGAGTTGAAAGTTCTTGATGCTTCTTGATTTTTGTGCAAGAAGAGCCGTTCTGCAATGGAAAAGTTCATTTCTCACACATACGAGCTCCATTTTGCGAGAGACCATGTCCATTGGGTTCTCCCAAGGGTCTTCTATCTTCCCCTAAAATTTTGTATCGATTTATTAGCAGTTTGATCATGGTGACCAAAACATTCACTGCGGATCCAGCTGGTTTCTGAAAAATTTCACATTGTTTGTCTGTATATAACACTATAAATATAAATTTTCTCATTGTTTTCCTAATCAAGTGTTCAGAGGATTCAATCAGTTATTTGCTAGTTTGGTTTTGGATATCATAATTTTGGCACAACTTTATATTTGAGAAAAGAGCCTGCACATATAAACTCCAGTGAAGCTAAACAGTTGTAATTACTCATACTGGGTCTTCCATATGTGAAATTATATTTATGGGAGAGAATGGGTAGCCATATTGATGCTACTCTACCAGACCAGTAAAGCTTGATGAGGAGAGTCCAAGAGTATAATTGTGATAAGAACCTTTGGGTCACTAATAACTCTAAGGTCGTTGCATGGGTAGCAAGCTCAGTAGAAAAGAAGATTGGGGCTGGTTTGACACATTTCAAAGCAGCAAGGTGTGTGGTTGCACCTCGAAAAGGAGCGAAAGAATAATCGTGCAAGATTCTATCAGTTAAAACAAAATCTGAGGGGTATTACTCAAGGGGATAAATAAATAGATGATTAGTATTTTGCTCTTCAGCAGATTTGGGATGAACAATCCCTTATGGATCCTCGGCTCACTTTTGATGGTGATATATTTGAACAATATTAGCATAAAGCAAGGTTACTTAATTCATATGCTCACGGGGCTCAAATCAGAGTGTGTCTAAGTATATTCGAGCACCCATATAGCATAGACATATGTCACCTGATATAGAGGATGCTCAGCCTTCAGGAGCTTTAGCAGTCTCATGGCACCCACTTGCTCGTAGTAAAGGCTCTGTTCCTTGGGGTCTGTATGCTGTACTGAGCCTATTGGCTCTTCAAACTTCAAAGCACCAGCTCCTGGCATGTGTTAAACACCTATGTCCCAACTATCAGTTCCTGGTATGGGTGAAACACCTAAGTCCCAAGTCCCAACTATCAATTCCATCAACTAGATTCAATGCACCAATGCCTATTACTAATAAAATTAGACATGTGCAAGATATGAGGGATGTTCAATGGAATTGCTCTAAAGAATTTGGTCAAATGAAGTTCAATGGCCCAAAGAAGAAGAGAACATGGAACAACCCTTCATAGACAGCTTATGTAGTTGATTCAGTGCCAAGCACTGCTACTTCCTCTTCCACTACCACTATTCTGAGTTCCTGAGATGTAGTATCTTCTCGGACAGCCTTTAGCAGCTCCAAATCGAGTGCCTCATGGACATCTGGCAGATGAGGCAGTAGAGCAGATTCTCCATGGTTTTTTCTTTGGCTTTGGATTTGAGACTCCGGAGCCACCTGTTATGTAACAGGGAACTTCAAAGTTCCCTTCTATCTACATCAGTTCAGTCCTCAGGAAGTTCTAATTTTATTAACTGGCGATGGTTCCAATCTCTCACAGAATAGTCTCTAGTCCTCTCTCTATCTGAAGTTGGGTTCATATGAAATTTATCCATGAATTTTTTCTCAGTCACCAGTAAAAATTGAATGATTTTGTTTGTGGGGTCTGATTCAGGACGTATCATCTAGGAAAGCAGACTGGGAGAGGCGGTGGTCATAAATTTGGAGAGCTCTACCATTTGGATTGCCTGCGTAAGCTGCCTGATTCTTCTCTAGTTACTGCTCCTGTCTCTCACAAGCTGCTTCATGCATGGAATTTATGGCATAGACAATTAGGACATTTTAGATACACTTAGGGATTATTAGTTCTGGCACCCTATACACTTAGGGAATTATCAGTTCTGGCAATCTTGAGTCAGTTCCTTGTTGCTTTCCTGACAATTTATATAATGAGTTGAACTATGAAAGTTGCACACTCACTAAACAACCAGCACTACCATTTGGTCTTTCCAGTACTACAGGGAAAATTATCAAAAAGCACCTAAGAGATGAACTATCACTCCAATGTTTTTTAATTTAATCTCAAAACACCCATCACAGGACACAGTCATGAGTCAGAGCAGCTGTGATTTTAGGTGCTTTTCTGATAAATTTACCAAAAATAAAACTGTAGCTAATTTTGAATTGATTCATTCCGGTGTGTGGGGACATGCTCCACTTTTATCTAAGTTTGGGTCTTGTTTTATTTTATTTGTATATGACAGTACTAATTTATCAGGATTCATTCTATGAACCAAAAAACCTGAACTCAGTGGTTTTTATTTCATCTTATCATATTCTGAACACCCAAGTTAATAAGAGTACCAAAAGTGATTGAGTCAGATTCTAGGGATGAGTGTGTGTTTGCCTACTATGACATGTTTTTTGAACAGTCACTGTATCATTCATCAACGAACTTGAGCATACACACCCGAGCAGAACCGCAGTGCATAGAAACATAAATAGGCCACTCAATTCTATGAGTTTCCAAAAAGAAAATACTAATTTTTTTTTGTTGTAAATCAAGATATAAGAATAAATCCTTACAAGATGGGTCCATCAGAAAATATAAAGCTTGGCTTGTAGCCAAAGGTTACATGGGAGTATGGTCTGGAATACGAGAAAGCATTTGCTGTAGTTGCCAAACTATCATTATGGTGGTTTTATTAGTTCCAGCTACCAGACATCATCCCACCCCTTCAAATTTGGTATGTCAGCTTAAACAGGCCAAATACGATCTCGAGCAAGCTCTATCATTTTTTAGTGGCCCTTGCTAAGGGAGGTCTCATTCAATGTTCTACAAATCCTTTAGGTGCAAGGCATCAGTGCTGCTTGTCTATGTAGATGGCATTCTTTTCACAAGTGATGATGGTATACCATCACATAGATAAGACACATTCAATAACACCACTTTTAAATGACCAACATAGAACTTTCTTGGCATAGAGATTACCTGATCTGCTCGTGGGATCCATGATACTTAGTGCAAGTATGCAAGTGACCTTATTTCTCGAGCCCACCACAAATCCAAGACTGTAAAACCCCAGCAGAACTTAATGTTCAATTATCTGCATCTAATGGAGAACCATTACGTGACCTTGTTGCATACTGCCAGTTAATGATTGAGTTGCTGTTCTTTCAGTTACCATACCAGATATCAGTTATGCAGTTGATTTTGTTAGCCAGTTTGTTCCGGCTCCTCATTCAGCTCATAGGTTCCCTTTTTCTCTGCACAGTGGATAACACAGTAAATAATGTCTATACTTGTCCATGGTCACTTTTTCTCTGCACCATCCAATCTTCAACCTATTGCATTTGTTCATTCAAACTAGGCTGTCTGTCCAAACACTTGTAGATAAACTACATGGCATTGTGTTTTTACTTGCTTCTTGGCAAAGCATGAAACAAGATGTGGT